GATTCACTTTTGCAAATATGTTTTCCCAACTTTGTTTCTTTCTGTAGCATTTCTGCTTGTGCCATTTTTGTTGACTTTTTGCCACTGACCTATGTCTTTGGGTGCTGGTCCAATACGTTCTAAACTTTTCAAAGAAGAATCTGGCTATTTTATTATAGCAACAGGTTTTTCAGGATTAATTTCTTTTGGCAGGACTACTTATGCTATGACTGGTGTAATTCTCTACTTTATTGACCCATCAAAACCCTAAGTACACACTGTTCTGAGGAAACTAATTAGCAGAAATCACCTGATTAATATTCATGCTCCCTATGCTAAATACAGAGCCAAGTAAAAATATGGGACAGAACCACGTAGCACATAAACATGGCTCTTCAGCAACAGTGAATGAGCAGGTAAACCAAGGGGTAAAAGAGCACTCTGAGCCCTGCCCTTGAGGCACACCACCCTCGGGAGCCCTTTCCAGGTTCCCTTTCCCCTGGAGCTTGGTGGTGTGCACACCCCCATGCACCTAAATGTGTGTGTATCCACACTATTGTTATATCTTGGACTGTGTTCAACTAGCTCTAGTGATGAGCTATAGACCACCTTGGACACCTCAAACTGGCCTGTTTCATTTCCCTTGTCTTTTCCAATTTGGGAGCACAAAGATTTGATCCCTTTACATTAAGGGTCACCACTGCTCACTCTTTTAATCAAGCTACATTGAAACACACAGGGTGTAGGTCACCTCTTCTCTGCAGCAGGGAGGACCAAACAGTAGTCTCCGTGGCAGTACCCAGACCTTGCATTTTAGTCTGAGCACTTGGGTTTCTGCCTGCCTGGCCAGGCTTTCTCTGCCACCATCTAGATCTGGTTTCACATCTGCTCTTGCCTACTCCATCCTACTCATGAGGATTCCTAGAACTTAGTTTCTACTTTCGTTTCTGCTACTTGTCCTGTTAATCTTTCAATCACCAGACCTCTGATGGCAGGTTCTGTTCATGTACAAATTCTTCTTGGTACTCCACCACACTACATGACCTGCACTCTCCCTGCATGGTTCTTGAATTTATCCCATCCTTCCTCCCAGAGGAGTGGTTTCATTGCCTTATCTTAGAATCTTTGATCAAAGCTAAATCTAGATCTAGACTGGAATGTACAGGACCTGAGAATATTCTTTCAATCAACCTCTGGCAAAACCACTGAATCGTGCTCATCAACTATAAATATAAAAGCCAACAACAATAGCATGTCTTAAGGAAAATTTATTAAAGAGTAGTTCATAAGACTGTAGAATTTGAATAGAAAAAGAGTAGATTATTGCCCACTTTTTTTTCCGGAACCGGGGATTGAACTCAGACCCTTGCGCTTGCCAGGGAAGCACTTATTCCACTGAGCCATCTCCGTGGCCCTATTGCCCACTTTTTAAAAAAATGTTTTAATGTTTTATTTAATTATTTATTTGGTACAGGGTCTTGCTACACAGCTCAGACTCATAGTGATCCTCCTGTCTCAGCCTCCGCATTGCTGGCATTACAGGTGTGCATCACCGCACCTGGTTTCGGGGGCCAGCACGGAGGCATGACATGTGGTACTGGGGGTTGAACCCAGGTCCTTGCACTTGTTAGGCAGGCACTTAGACCACCGAGCTATCTTCCCAGCCTGTTGTAGTGCACTTTTATGTGTATATCAGTGTTTGACTGTAACAAATGATTCCTGAAGGCTCCAAGGATGGGGACTTGTGACCTTGGGGCTGATCCTGCCTGCATTCTGTAGGCGGCAGCTTGGAGCATGCAGCAGTGGGGAAGAGTTTAGGCTCTTGAGCTCAATCACCTAGATTCTAATATTGACTCTGGCACCCAGCTGTTCTTTGACTCCATGCTTGAGCTGCATGTGGGTAAACAGAGGCAGCAGGATCTGCCGCACAGCGCTGCCACAAAGATGAGTTCACTTACCTCATTCAGGATATCCTACCTGGTACCTCATACCCTTCTACTGTCCACTGAGAGCCTTGGATTTCTGCTATGCATTGTTCCTCTTCATGATTCCTTTTCTACCTATCCTCTGTTCATTCTCTTGTGACCACTGCTGTAAGGTCCTGAGGATATAAATAAAATAAGACTCTGTGTTTAATAAGCTTACATCAAGGCAGGTTAGCTGATGTTTACAGAAATATAAGAAACACCAACAAGAAAAATAAAATAGACACAGAAAACACCTTCGGAGCTTGTTTCATGATAGTGCTTTGTGGTTTTAGATACTGAGACCTAAATATCCAAGCAATTGGGTGTTTTCCAAGGCTGCCTGGAGTGGGATTATTATTATTTGGGGGGAAGGGTACCAGGAATCGAACTCAGGACCTTGTATTTTGCCACTGAGCTATAGCCCAGTCTCCCTGGGATGGGATTATTTTGAGTTTCCATTCTGCCACTCATTGCTGTATAGCTTCTACTAAATGTAGTCATTTGGTCTCTCTGGACCTCAATTTCCCAACAATAACATTAGGATAATACAGTATTATCTACTTTAAGTTGAGTTATATACTTTATCTACTTTAAACAGAGTTGTAAACTGTTAATATCTGA